CAAGTGAATCCTCAGGCCATGCTCCTGACTGGTGGAGGAGTCTGGCACTGAAGATCGGCAGTTCGTCGGGCCGGACTAGAGCCAGTGTGAAATGTTCTCGATTGAGTTCTTGAAGCTTCAACGTGGGCTTTCTGGGAAGCACCTGGCCTCACATGGCCCCATAGCAAGAGAATGTCAGAGTTCGGCCGATTTTCGAGAGGTCATGATTGGGGGAGGTCGGGCGAGAGTCTCCACTCCGTTTGATGGACGGGGTGAAGTCGGATTCTGCAATATTAATGGTTGCACTCACCTAAGTTCATGTTACGGATGTTCAGGAATGAGTTGTTCAAAACATTTGTAATGAGTCTATAAGGATTGAAGTTTCCTCTACAAAAATCGGGGTGGTTGGGTATCCTGAAAAACGATTATAATAGGTTCAGATGACTAAGGAAGAAGAACACTACATGTGCATTAATACCAATGCTTATGTCATGTATGAAAAAAACCATGCCTCAAAGCCTGGGGGGGATCTATGTTATGCAAAAAAAGCCATATGCTTTCTTAAATTGTGCCCAAGACCTCCGTCATATGGCCCACTACACCCAATACAGAAAAGGAACTTTGTGTTTTAGTCTATTCATTCCCTTCCAAAAGCTTCATGTCTAAGGGTCTGTGTGGTATATATAAGTGTGTAGAGGGCCCATGTCATTTGTACCCCATATAGTTTAATCCGACCTTTGTTGGTTAAGTTGGAGGCATGTAAGTAGAAACCTCAAAGTTTTTCGATTTTATGGAGAATAGATGCTTTCTGCATAGTCATGGTGAGGTGGATCTTGGTACCTCAAGCATGCTAATTCTATAGAGAATTGTTAGCATTATTTTGCATGTCAGGGACACGCACAGAGACCGCGCACAAACCTCCAGCACAGACCATGAGGACCTTTGTTTTCACTAAATTCTACTAAATTTGTGGTCCTTCCGTCATATGAATGGATGCCTTCCTGGACATGTGTTTCTTTTATATTTATGTTTGGCTCCGGCACCCGGTATATATATATATACAGATACACCAAGCTTTTACAGGCTCATCACCCTCCATTCTATAGAGCTGACACTTGTTTCTGGATTATTAACATCAAATTCATAGAGAGAAATGTTTGAAGGAGGTTAGCCCCACCACTTTAATAGCACAGTAAATTATCTAGCTCCGACCTACCCACTTAATACTAATCCCTATATCTATAATAATACAAACCCGAGCACTGAGTGTCATTCATGTTCAATTCCCAGTTTGTTTGGGAGCGTTGCAGCAATGCGTTTCACAAGTGGGCACAAATTCCAGCCAGGTTTGCCAGATCCTTTGCGAACATCTCTATGTGCATGAACAGCATCGGACATCAATCAGAAGCACTGAATACTTATTTAGACCATAGCCATTAGAAGTCCCCAAGGAATGCCCACAAGGAAGCCCGGAAGGCTTCCTTTGCCGCTAGGTGCAACAGCAGGATCTTAGTTAAACACATTAGTTGCTATCACGAGAAGCATTGAGCATCTCAGCCCCATTGTGGATGCTGCAATCTGATTTCATGTTGATCAGTGAGCAAGTTGATTTGGCCTCAGCCCAGGTTAGAACTACATGCGGCGATTGGAAACACGCCGCTTGCATTTGGGTGCCCGCACACCACTAGCAACACTGTGGCCATTTCAGGGCGAAGCAGCTCATGGCAGCGCAGGGGCTGCGTTGCCTTCACCGAGGTTGGTTCACAAAGGGGGCCCATATACCGCTTGGCGCAATTCCTTCGGCGAGAGGCGCTACACGGAGGATTCGTGAGTGGATGCGGGTAGCACATTCGGATAGCCCAGTAAAACACGAGATCCATTCCGTTTGGTGGTCCATCCTGTTCATTTTGAGCCGTCAACCTTTTGACCCACTCCCCAGGTAGTAACTATATTGATGGCTGACAGGGTGGCTAGAAAGCTTGAGCAAGCAAGGCACGGCTGGACGATGTGGAATGATTCCTAGTACCGAGACGGGCCATGGATTCTACATCTCGCTTAGTAGGCAATGAGGCCGACTTTTGTTGAAATAATGTCATAATTTAATGTCAGGCCAAACGCCCGGAAAGTGTTCTCGTGGTGTTTTTGTGGGTATATATATATATATGTCTGAAGCTGGCAACTACTGGAAATCAAAGGTGTGTCACACATGTAAGGGTCATTGTCACAGTTCCTCTTCTGCATGAGGCTTGAAAAACAAAGCTTGGCAGGGTATTGCCGTGATACTCCACACTTCCCCAGTGGTGGCCCACACGCCTCCCATTCTGCAGTGGCCTTGTCACGTGCCAAGACCAAGCAATACCTGCTGAGCATGATGGTGGGGCCCTGAGACGGCAGCAAAAACCTGAAAGACGTCCGCGCGTGGGTCCTTCCGCCGTTCACTCTGTCTAAAAGGGTTGCCGATTTTTGCCCAGTTGCATGAACAGGTCAAGGGACAAGGCTGGGGGGTTGTGTCAACAGCCTTGCGAAATCACAGCCAGACACCCTTCAGCAGTTGCGGTGAAAAGGATGGAAACGCAGTGCTGGGGTTGTGGGCCAATGAATTTTGAGCAAAGAGCTTGCCACGTGTGCGAGGCCTGCTGCAGGTAGTCTGAGCTGGCACTCATGGAGGTTCCCAAACGACAACACTGATGCATTGTTCATGTCTTTTGATATTTTCTGTTTGAACCGTTTTGAACAGTTTTTGCATGAGTGCCTGCAACTGTTTCGTGGGGGATCTGTGCTCTCCCTCACGAGCCTGGCTGATAGGTTAGCTCACCCCCCAAAAGAAACAGCAAGCAACAAGCGCTAAGCGCTGAAAAATATCAACTACTGCCTCATTAGCTTGCAAGGTCCGCACGGGTTCGTTTGGTTGGATTGAACTGAGTTGAGCATTTGGCGCCTAAGGAGTTCTGGAAAGGCCAGGCATGGGACCGTGTGGTCATCGCCGTGTGGTCGTCGCGGTGTCCGGAGACATGGCTTGCTGGCGTCAGATGTGCGTGTTTCGTAGGAAGAAAGAGATCACCTCAAGGGGTCACAAGGATGGAACCAGTGAAAACCCTTACAAGAGTCTGTAGGTCAATGACCTCATTTCACGATAAGTCTGGGAAAATGCAAAATCTGTACAAACATGAGGTCAAAGGACAGGGTTTTACTTGGTCCTTGGACCTGTAGGGAAAGGTATGTTTGGGCCATGCAGTGGATTTGGTAGACCGTTTCAACATCCAGAGCCAGCCATAGGTGAAGCTTATGTTCTCAGTGCCAAGCCAAGTAGAGGGGAAAGAACATCCGTGACAGCGGCTCCCTGGAGCTCAACAGAATACATTGTTGTTGACCAATGTGAGAAACAGAATGTTTCGTGGGAAGAAATGGATCAGCACTCAATTCAAATGAGAACCGGCCTCCAAACGTGGACGAATATCTCTGAAGCGAACGCAGAACTCATGACGAGCTCGTCAGCTCGTTGTACAAAGCTTCCAGTTCCAGGTGGGGCGGTCTGTATGGATTTCACACCGCGGCCGGTTGGTTCCCCCCGGTCCTTCCGTTGGAACGGCCTGTGGGGTTCACCACGGCATCCCCGTGAGGTGCCAGTGCACGGCATCCCTGGCTGAGACCCGTCGGCAACACACTCATCGGTCTCATGGTGCAGGAACCGGCTAGACAGCTGGGCTGGGGATGGAGACCCGTGGGCGGCGTGGCTTTCCATCCACCAAATCCACATCCTTCAAACAAGGGATGTTGGCAAAGAGGCAAAGGTGTCTAACATTATGACATCATAAAACCGAACCCCTAAGGCCCTAAGGTCTCCAAAGTTGAAGATTATTTTTTACCGGTTTTGATATGGGTTCTGATTCATTATGGGTTCTAAGATATGCATGTACTTGGTTATGATTGGGATCCAAGATCCGATCACCGGGCCACAAGCAGTTTGTGCAGGATATGCATGGTTTGTCGAAACGCGATCAGTTTGCAAATTAGCTGCTGGACAATGGCATGCCTTGTGCCGTCCTCATGGTTTGCTCAGTTCCCTCCTTGAGAAAAAACACGCAGGGCTTGCACATTGTTTCCACGCCAAGGTTGCAAGATTGTACCCCTCGGCAACACCACCTCAAAGGGGTTGGGCGTGCTAGCTGTTGGAGGGAAGGTAAAGAATTGCAGGATAGCAACCATCTCCTTCACATCCGCTGGGACAAAGATCGAATCAACCCGCCATGCTACGATGAATCATGTGTCTATGAGGGCCACTGCAAGCTCTACTTGCTGCCCTCCTCCCTATCGTGGTAGACCGTGGAGGTTCGCAAAGGTTGCAAAACCCAGACCTATTGAAGGCAGCAATAACTGCCAAGGGTGAATTCCAGCACTTGTGAAAAAGCTGTTTTGGCGACCCAAACGCGCCCCAGCCACAAATCTTCCTACCGCCTGCAACTGGCAGGAATACGAGGTTTGCGCCCCAGCGGTAGGGCCAGTCGCTGGTGTTGGGCAATGCGGTTCTGATGAAGAATGCCCAGGAGCTCTCGGCATTTGTGGTAGATCCTGTCCACTCCACTTCCTGCTACTCAGCTACTCTACAGGCAAACAATGATTAAAGCTGTGGAGCTTGAAGCACTTAGAGCCCAAGGCAAGCTTCTCCGTCCGTGGTCTTGTGGGGTCTCCGGACCGATTCCGTGAAGATCCGAAGAGAGCCCGACCTCCTAAGGGCGACGTCACCATCTACAACGGCCGGGGCCGAAGGTGGTGTTGGGTACGTCCAAGTGGTTAATCCAAGAATCCCTTTTTCAAGGGAGAAATCCCCTATCTTGTTTCAAAGTGGAAGAATACTCATTTGTAAGAAGTGCTTTCTAGGACATGCACCTGCATATCTTCACTGAGCTCCAAGAGATTACAATAAATCCACTCCATCCAACCATGGTCACTTCTGTGCCGGTCAAGTCAGTCAGAACTGTGCCGGCCCACGGTGCACTCGCCGTCCGAGGACGTGGACTCTTGGAGATGCCCTCATTGCTGGAGAACCCCACGGAGGAAACCCTCCAGAAGTACACCATCGCCTCGGAATGGGCCCCGGACCTCGGAGAATCAGCGGGGGAACCCCGCGCGGTTTCGGAACCCCCGCGCGGGGTTTCCCTCCGCGCTGGGCGGAGCTGGGCGGAGGTTTCTGGGGGGCGAGTCAGGCTTTTGGTCCTTTGGTGTTGGAAGCGGGCGGGTTCGGTTCAACTTGTAGCGTGCTAGCTATTGGTGATCACCGTAGAAAATTCATGACTGATGAAGATGAGTTGTGTTTGGCGCCAACATGACTCATCCCTTTGCAATGAATATGTGGGATTGAAGAATGGTGTTGGAAAGACTTGCATGCCCAAGCATCCCAAAACCTTGTAAAAGCGTGGGATGTCCTGGTCCTGTATTGTTTTTATATGTGAGGTGGTGGAGGATCCTGCCTTGGATCAGAAGTGCCGCAAGCTGGGCCGGCTAAGCCCCTAGGTGTAGGGAGCATGGATGACACCAATCCCACAAGTCCAAAGATTTGTGCTAGAGTCGCCCACTGTTGCAAATGCAGCACTGCTCTTCAATATGTTTACCAGAAGCATGCAAAGACAATTTCTCTCTTCTAAAACCAGGACCTGGACATTGGAGAGCAGCCATGCCTTTTTGCGCGTGCTTGGGGCCCCAACACCCACAAGACCATTCTCCGGAATGTCTCCCGTTTGATCGATCAGGAAACCTGGTGGCACATCCCGGAGATCCAAAACGCTTGCGCGATCGAATTTGCGCCCTCGGCGATGAACCGCGCGCAAGTGGCGTTTGGAATCAATGCGTTTTGAAGGGTTGAGAGGTGTGAGCTGTTGATGTTGAAGTCATTGGGTCGGACATGTTTCTAGAAGAGGGTGTAGCTGATCCAGTAGTTGATTATTTCAAGACATATCTAGGCTTCAAGTTCCAAGCGTTCAGTCCTACGTTCAGAAGTTGCTGGAGTGAGTGGTGCATGGTATTTGTGACCGATGCCCAAAGGCAACGCGAACCCGACCTCCCAGCCGGAGACACGTATTCAAGTGGATATGGTATTGTTGAGCAAGTCCACACACTGCTAGGTAGTAGCCCCAAGGTCTTGCAGGTTACCAAAAGGGCTGCGTGCCCACAGTGTTTCCTAGAGTTGTTTAGAAAACTTGCTTGAACTGCTCTATACACCCTGAAAGTGCCACAGGCAATTCCTGAGTGCCTCCAGGTACTTCCGTGTTTGTTCTGTGATTATGTTGAAACTTTTTCCCCTGCACCACTGGATCACGATTGAGAGGGCATTGTCATTTGAGAGGGAGATTGCATGTGGATCCCACTGTGTGTTGGAGTTGGGATGAGCTTGACACCTTTTGTTTTATATTCAGATACTGGCTTGGAGACACATTGAAGTCTCGCCACGATTCACCAATTAAAACATATCAAAACATGTTCTTTGGTCACATCATCACAGATCCAAAGATGTTCTTGTTGGCTATAGATTGGCGCGATGGACCAACATCGACCTGCCCTTGCTAGGTGATGGATGAGATCGTCAAGGAGCTCCTGGCGGACTTGCGGGCTTCTGAGGCCGAGAAGAGCCTGGGGCGCTCAGCAGCCGTTCCTCGTGCTTCCGGCCGATGGGGTGCCCGGAGAAGAGTTGCGATGCCTCGGCGTGGATATTGAACTTTGGGAATCACCGACGCGTAGAGTAACAAAGTGGGAAGCATAGCTTGAGGTCCTTTGCAGCTCAGATGGGTGTGACGCTTGAAGGGCCCTCCTGAAACACCGGCAGTTGATGCGGGCTTTGTACAATATTACATATATATATATATAGTATACTATATAATTAGATTAAGAATGATAATCAGATACTAAATAGATTGAATATATTGTTGTACCTATATCTACATATACATTTATATATATATTTATATATATTGAGTATATATATGCACATATGTTGAGCTTCGCACGCTGGTGGTGCTGCAAGGGTTGGTTGTCGGTCGAGCACAGCGTGCGTTGTGATTTAACGCTCAGTGTGCAATTTCGCACTGAGAAGGACTTGGATGATTTGGGGTGCGTTTGATCCTCCTTTGCAATGGCCACAAAGCATGCAGCTTTCAGCTTTTGACATCGTCCACATGTTCGCCAAAGCGCATGTCAGGGCAGCCAGCCATGCAAAGCACGGCCAGTGCGCATTCAACACCAAGCTCAAGAGCAGTCTCGGTCCTTTGGAAGGCTTTGGGCTAACCAGAGACCGGGCTTTTCGGGTGCCCATCCGGAGCCGGGGGCCGGAAGACATCCGACTCAGGTGGTCTGAACCGAACGCCTTCGCTGATCTCCCGGATGATGCCGCCGGCCATGGGGCTCAACAGGCGCGGCCTGTGCCTGCCGGAAAGCTGCGTGGCCATGGGGGCGGTTTTCTCCAAACCATCATGGGGCAGGCCCAAGTAAGTTTCTTCAGGGTTGGGAGAGGGCTTGTAAGCCGGAATCCTCCAAGTAGTTCACACACTTGCACCAGGAGTTGACCACGGTGGGTGTGCATCCTCTTTTCAGAAAATGTGGAAGTAGAACATGCCACATGGATCAACATGGAATTGTTGGACTAGGAAGGCTGTTTCCCATTGGTTTCCTTTACCAGCAGTGGGTTTTCTGCTTCTGCATTTGTTGGGGTTGGAGGGAGGATGAGGGAGGATACCGGGTATCGTTTCACCGTTTTCATATGTGTTCATGGTAGCTGGGAAGGGCTGGCGCGCAGCGACGCATGGAGTAGGGTCTTCGTCGGAGCAGGGGGGCCCCTCGTCTCGACGACGTCGTCCGACGCGGTGGATCCGAAGTCATTTGGTGGTCCGACACGGTGCTTATCTCGGTCACGTTTGCTTCGTGAGAGATGATGAGAGCTGGTTTTGAACATGTTTTGAACATGTTTGAATCCACCCTTGGCTCAAGAGTTAGGAAGCTGCAAGGCTGTTGTAGGTTTTGATGTCGTAGCCGCGGCATTTCAGGAGTGCTGAATCTGAGTGCTTTTCCTTTTCGAGACGACATGGGTCAATGAACCGGAATATTCAAAAGACTGATGCAGTGTCCCGGCAGGTGTGGACAAATTTCGAGATCAAATAATGGTTTCCCGTGACTTCCAGCAGCCTTGAGAATTCCTAAAACTCAACCCTAATTCTATACATGCCTGGATTGTACTATCTCCTCGCCTGTGGGCACTGCAGAGACCGATCTATCACTATACTCATTTCCAGGTGTCCTCTAGTGTTGTTATGGGTCGTTGGGCAAAAAAGATATTTTATCAGTGAATGTGGCTTCATGTGTCTCATTATTAGTACATGTCTTTGCTGTGCAGTACACTATGTATTCTCGGTCGGTGACGGTGACCGGTGCCGAAGACCGTTCCGTCCACCCAAAGGACGGCGCGCCCATGGCTGAGGACCGACCCGACGGCGAAAGACGAAAGCTTTCAGCAGAACATCTCCAACTATAGTGATTCTACCTGCTGTTTTGTGAGCTTCTAGTGATTTTAGATGACTTTACACATCTTCACACACTAAATCCGTGCCTTTGTAGATGGTGCAGATGGACCTGCTTGGGCTGCAGGAAGCCGGGCAAATGCCCATGGCGCCCGCGTCCGTGCCCAGTTCGACCGGGCCACCCGGCTGCGCTGCTGTTGGCTGCGATTATACCATCGGTGTGGGCCTCGGAGCTCTTGAAGGCTTGTCAGTGAAACCCCACCTTGAATGGGAAAGGCACGGCGAAACTTCGACTCAAAGCCCAGACGGCTTTTGAGTGTCAAGAGTCAAGAGCACATGTTCCGGAGGAAGTTGCAACCAGGATCCCTGTCAAAACATGTTGATTTCTGCTGGAACCACCTGAAAGCCCACCGACCACCATTGATTTTCAGGCCCAGATCGCTAGGTCATCCGGATGGTCTTTTTCCGCGCTGATTCAGAGATCCTCGGCGTTCACTCTGTTCAGGTGGAGGTCTTTTGCCCGTGGCTTTAGCTGTGGCCGGGATGTTTGCTGCACCTGGGCTGGGTGGATGGCGGGTGGACAGCCTGTGGACACCGGATGAAGTGCATGATCTGGTGGTGGCTTCAGTGATAGAGGCCACTCAACTACAGACATCTATGGATATTTTTGGACTGCAACTGCAACTACAGATTTCATGTTCACACTGGACCTAGCAAATTCTGCCCACTCATGTCATAATATGGTTTCTTCCGCTTTCTCACTGGTCAAATCCCTTGTTGAATGCTGATTAAACTCCCTTTTGAAGAGTTTCCACGCCAGGATGTTCAAAGCTTTGCATCTATATTTCTGAGCCTGCTTGTTAGTTACTTAGCAATATGACACTACAACATTCATCGACAACTGTTCGAGATGAGTGCCTATGAACTATATGTTTATATCGGTTATAGTGGCCTGGGAGCAGATGACACCACATCCAGACCTTGATATGGATTTGCTCAAGGCGGTGTCGGGAAGTCTACGGATTTATCATCTACTCTTGTCAGACGAGACCAGGTCAGACTCGCCAACGCATGGGACGATGAGTGCCTCGAATTGGCCTCGCTGCGTGATTGGCTCTACGCCGATGGCATCATCGCCGCCTGGACATTGACCTGTTTCTTCTTGTATCTATTTTGGGTCTCACTTTTCAATCTGAGTCATCACTATCATGCTGTTTGAGAAAATGACCTCGGCTGTCCCATGTGCCCAGCGGCGGACGACTGCTGTACTGTTTGGCCCAGGCCATTATCTTTAGCATACCTGGGCTCTACGCACTGGTTTGCTGTGGGCATTCGCAGGCGTGGCTGCCTGGCGAATGGGTCCACCACAGATCACCACAGATGTTGTTTCCCAACGACTAAATTCAACTAATATAATTTCTTTCTAGTATAGTTATATGAAATTATATGCATTGCCCACTGGTGCGTGAGGGGATGGGAGCCCTGTGCGAGAATCATATGTGCTTGTTTTACCTGCTATGGTTGCGGATGGGGTTGGCCCACCGGGCGCATGATTCCCACTGATGAGGGACGCAGATGTCTCAAAGGTGAACTCCGAAGCTGCAGGTGCACGAAGTCCATGCGAGACCGGCTCCCCCGCATGGGTTGTTGGCAACCGGTTTTGGAACACAACCTGGCGTTCTTTCAGGCGACAGTTCGATGGTGTTTCATCCGATCTTTGCTGCTTCCCCAGCCAAACACCACGAGCATATATATATATATATGTACTAATTAGGACCACTTGAAAAAACAGACTTGTACTGTAGCAACACCTTCCCGTTTGAGGCCAAAACTGGGACATACTGGTATCATGTTCTATATAATCAAATTGCACGACATGTATGGTGAGAGTCACTTCTCAGATCTCGCTGAGGGCCTCAACAAGTGCCTCTTCCTGCCCACTTTGGTGCTGCTCATTTGGGGCCTTGTCCCGCGACCAAATTCTAGGGCCTCTCCAGTCGAGCGTTGACATGAGAGCTATCCATGCGACCATTTTAGCTCTAATGAGGGGCTCAGACAAGCGGCACAACAGTCTTTCCATGTTTTTCCGTTTGTTTTGCCAAATCTGGGTCTAAGGCCCAACCCTGGAATATCCCGGACTTTTGGCCTCACTCTTCATACCAATAACAGGCATTTGACGTCCATGTGGTTTGGGCGGGTGCCAGTTGGGTTCTCTTTTTGTGATTCGGCTGAACTTACTCATGTTGCATGGCCCAGAAACACGGGGCCGTCGGTGGAACGTGATCGAAATCCTTTACTGTACATCCTTTGTCGAGTGCTAAAGCGATGTGTAGCTGGGGGTAGTCGAAACCCTGGTGGTGCATGGTGTTGATGGTGTTGTTTGCCAACATGGATCATATAGAACACCGCAGTAGGCTCTTGGCCTTAGAAATAGAATGTTGAATAAAGATGCCCTCGGCGAAGACTTTGCTTCACGGGGTCTTTGGATGTTCAGAAGGCCACAGTTCTTGTACCAAAGGCTACCTAATGCATAGTAGACAGCAACTTCAGAGCTGACATGTTTCTGGGTGTGTGATCTAGACCCCAAGCAGCGAGTCCATTTGTTTATTAATTATGTGTGTGTGTTTTTATGTTTTGTTTTTCGGTCTGGCGAGGGGGTCGTTGGGGTCTCGCCTGAAACAAGACCCATGTTAGTCTCTCATGTGCTTTAGATGTCCCTTTCAGAGGAAGCATGTACGAGGTACGGAGTGCCAACTTCCTATAGCTGAAACCGGCAGATTCAGCTTCGTGCTCCCTGAAACAATCGTTTGACTACAGCATACTATACAGCCTACCACGTAGAGGCCAACAGTCTTCCAAGATCGGCGCCGGTGCCATGTTCCACGTAACCATGTTTGTTGGGTGGAGATTATTCGAGTAGCACCACCTACGTGCACTGAGTTTACCTACACCCACCCGGTGGAGTTGGACTGGGCTTCGAGCAGCACCACGACGACGACCACCACGACGAGCACCACCAGCACGACGGGTACAGCGATTGAAGTGATCGAAGTTACGACGTGCCAGGCGTTGAAGAAGCTTGGTGAAGACCAACTGAAGAGATCTACACAGGAACCAGTGCAGTGTGCCCCATGATCGAAGGTAGATGGCACCTGGTTTATGCGTCTCACTTTTCTAAAACATCCAAGACAATCTATCCAGAAGTATCCAGAAGTGATTTTGCTGTGGTTGGTAGGAACGAGTGGGAAAATGGATGAAAATGGCCAACGAGACACCACTGATTCTTGGGCGATCGAGCGATCACGTGTTCTGAAATTTGCAAGTTGTTGCCTTTGCATGCCTGTTGTTCATTGCCCTTCACTCGCCCTGGTCAAAAAGATTCAAAAAGGTCAGCCTTCGATGTTTGTCGAAAGCGTGTGTAGTGCCAGAAGAGATGCTAATCTCAAGGAAGTGTTGGGTTGCTCCCAGTTGGTCTTGGGGAAAGAGATTGATCAAGCCATATCAAACCTCCAGATCGCATGCCAATCTGTGGGGGTGCTTCAGAATGCTGCAGATTGTTTGCCCTTCAACTCTTTCTTGCCCTCGAGATCCATCCCATCCCGATTGCTGGGCAAATGTTTCGAAACATCCTCCGTGATGTCGGAGGATTGAAGCCCTTGCCACTGACCAGCGCCTTTTGTCATCCTTTATTTGTTGGAATCGATCTGAACAAGCTACCATTGTTTCTGTGAAACCTTTATTCCATAGCCCTTGACCTTGTTTTTTCGCTGTTTCGATGCTTTTGTTTGATGCCTTTTTTTCTGTGTGACTGACCGGTAGGGTGGCGCCTTCTTCCAACAAAACACGTTGAGATGACCGTGCAGCGCGGTGGACTGCTGGACTGCGGCCCAGGATTCAAG